CCAGGAGAACCAAGGAGTGGCTCCGTAAGAAGCAGATCAAGGTTCTGGAGTGGACCAGCCAGTCTCCAGACCTAAACCCTATAGAAAATCTTTGGAGGGAGCTCAGACTCCGTGTTTCTCAGTGACAGCCCAGAAACCTGGCTGATCTAGAGAAGATCTGTGGAGGAATGGGCCAACATCCTGCTGCAGTGAACCTGGTGAAGAACTACAGATAACCTTTGACCTCTGTCACTGCAAACAAAGATACTGTACCAAATATTAACATTAATTTTCACAGGTGTTCAAATACTTATTTGCAGCAGCAACACACAAATAAATTATTAAAAAATCATACAAAGTGATTTCTGGGTTGTTTTTTTTTAGATTATGTCTCTCACAGTGGACATGCACCCGTGATGAAAGATTCAGACCCCTCCATGATTTCAAAGTGGGAGAACGTGCAAAGTCGCAGGGTGTTCAAATACTTATTTTCCTCACTGTAGTAGTCTGAAGTTCACTGACTTTGTAAATAACAGTTTATTGTATTTTTACCTTGGCTTAGTCCGTGAAAAGACATAAATCCTTTTTTTTTATTACTTTTACTTGATTGGCTGATGAGTAATGGATGTTCTCCACCTGCCTGACATTTTTTCAACCTTTTCATTTCTCTTCTGACTTTATTGGATTATCTAGGGTAAGGTAAGTTTAATAAATGTACTTTTACATACATAAATGTATAATATCTAGAATGTGGTTACTTAGAATACGATTATTGTTGTGAACATGAACGGCTAAAACGCAACAGGGGGCTCCTTACCAGATGCCCAAACTACTTCCACTGGCTCGTCTAAATGTGGAGGAGCAGCGGCTCTACGCCAGGTCTCTACCAGGTAACTACTGTAAACTTCTCCCCCTGTAGCTAAGGGGGACTCCAGCCCCCCTGTGGAGAACACATAGTTGACTGCTTGTATCTATCTGCAACCTCAGTCTTTCTGTCACTGCCCAGAGTTCATGACCATAAGTGAAGGCTGGAATGTAGACCATCAAGTAAACAGAATAAAAATCACTTTCACTTCAAGTTACTTACTGAGTTTTGCTTTTAGATGATGAAGATCAAAGGTGTGAGTGTCCTAAGAAAAAACAAATCATAGCAGTGAGGAACCACATGATGCTGAGGTCATGACGTTTCAAAGAAATATGAAGAGACAGTTTTAATGTCAAATTTTCAAAACAAAACTAAGTTTACCCTGAAAGTGCTCTGGGTTACTCTGTGAGAATTTAGAATTTTTACCCAATCATGTTGTCAATTGACCTAATTAGTGTTAATTGGTCTTCCAGCTGTTCGTTAAATGCTCAATTTCCTTTTTCCAGCCACTTATTGCTACTTGTCCCAACTTTTTTGGGATTTGTTGACACTGTGAAATTTTGAATCAACATATTTTTCCTTTAAAATGTTACATTTACTCAGATTAAACTTTTGATCTGTCATCTATGTTATATTACGAATAAAATATATTAAATATATTTATATATATATAAAATATATATAAAATATATTCTTGTTCTAGAATTGCGCCGCTCAAGGTGGCTGCATGTTGGAGCAGCTCTGTTACTTTCATTCTGAGATATTACTTTTGAAAACTTTAATTCCTCTGTTTTCTGGATATAAATCACTTTTTTTGGATGATTATTTCCTCTGGTGTCGGATGCTGTGCAGCTGGAAGGATTTTTACAGAAATATCTTTGCCTTCGGACATTTGTTATGATGCGTAACCATAACAACAAGGTTTTTTACAACCGGGAGCAGCTGATTAACATCTCCAAATCTCAAATAATATCTCAACTACAGCCTCAAATCCCAAATGAGTTGAAAAGGAGGCCTCGTGGATGCAGAGCAGGAGCAAAGAAGAGGGAGAAAGAGAGAAGAATGTAATTTAAACCATCTCTTCCATCGATCATGATGGGCAATGTGAGATCGCTGGGAAACAAGTTGGATGACCTTCAAGCCCTAACAAGTACCCATCCAGAGTATCGGGAATGCAGTGTTATGTGTTTCACTGAGACATGGCTGCAGGATCATATCCCCGACTCCAGCGTTTCATTGCCAGGCTTTCTGACCATAC